AGAGAATGCAGTTTGGCAGTGCTGCTTCGATCCCAGCTGATCAGGAGTCTGGGTTCAAAGTTTAATTCCTAGGTAGGGTTTAGGGCTCCTGCTGGGGTTTAGGGCGGGGGTATGGGGCTTAGGCATTGGGGGTTTGAGTTTGGACCATTGTTCAAATAAGGGGCTTACTATCTGATCAGGATCATTGCAATATTTACACGAATTCAACCGCACTCCTTCAGCTGCCCTTTCGAAATGTTCTTCGACACGATGCCATACTCCATTGCCAGACTGGATAGTGCTTCCTGCATGCAGCGAGATCCATGGTTCAACTATTTAGTAATTATGATGAAATCAACTGCCTGAGATTCTCTCGCCGTAGGGATTTGAGGAAAAAGGCCCAGGTAGTTCTGCAAGAACTCGAAGTTGACGGGGTTCATTTCGACCTGAGCTCCCAACGACTGCGCACTGTTCCCACGGCCACCCTGATCATGATCTGAATCAGACGTGTTGCATCAGCTTCTGTGATGGTCCGCCCTCGCACGTCCACGAACGAAAAACTGACCGGAACCTTGGATTCAATCTTGATTGGAAATTTCTTATAATCCACAAACAGACATGTGCATGTAGATTTGCACATATATATGATGCAGAGCAGCAATGCCACGCTTCAGGCAGCGAGCCAGCTTCTTCGGGCCGATGCTGTGCTCTTTGCATATGGCCTCCAGCCGCTGCTCCACAAAGTTCTCGTCAGAGAGGAAGCTCTTGTAGAGTTCCTGCCCAGTGCGACCGTATCCATACTCGAGACAGAATTATGAAAATATGAAGGCAGCAGTGAGAAAGAGTAGAGAGAGAATGAGAGAGAGAGAATGCCAGCACAGGCCTTCAGGAAGAGCACAGTTCGAGGATTCGGCTTTGTCGGGGCCATGCCACGATCTAGGCACCCTGCACTTTAAAGTTGCCCTCAGGTCAGAATTTAAAGAGGCATTCGGAATTTTTTCGAAGCCCCACGGGTTTAGGGTTTTAGGGCTTTAGGGGGTTTACTGTCACCTGTTTGTTGTGTAATGCAAGGTATCGACCGCTGCCTGATCCAGACTGCAGCGTGCGCAAAGCATATGCAAGTGCAGACGAAAAAAAACTCTCGAAATCGCGGCAGTGAGACCTGATGAAGGATCGTCCACCCACTCATCACATATGCTTTCCTGCTGTCCTTAGGTTATATGTGCTGAATCGAACATGTCACAGCCCCCCCCCCCCCCCACACATCCAGTTGCCACGGAGCTTCGGCGTAGCAAAGCTCGTTTCATAGCACCACCACGGCCCTGGGCAAGCATGTTGCAAATTGGTATTGTAATTAGACACGACACGCTTTAAATCCAGTTGCTATGCCAGCTGAGATTCGGCCCATCTAAGATCCGACGATCATACGCCGCATCCATGATTATATCCCAAGCCGTCCTCGGGAAGTATGTCGACAGAAATGAGCACTATTGTACCTGACCTCTCTTTGTCCTCTTGCAGCCGAGCTTCGGCCCAGCGAAGATCTGACGACCATAGGCCGCATCCATAGATAAGCCCAGCCGTCCTCGGGAAGCATCTAAGATGGGCCTATATATGATCATGTGTAGTACCAGACCCCTCTTGATTTAGCCACTTGCAGCTGAGCTTCGGCCCAGTGATGTTGGGATTCAGTGCACCCATCGTATCACATGCCATCAACGAGCGAGCCAGCTCAAACAGTTATAAAACTACAGTACACCAATCTAGAATTCCTCGACCAGACCTGCTGACAAAGTAGGGCCCAGGACACCTTAAGAGGGCTTCGGTTTATGCAGTTTTGTGGCTTGGAAACTGTCTATAGAGGGACCGGGACACCTCAAAAGGGCTTCGATTTCAGCAGTTTCGGGGCTTGGGTCTTAGACATTACAACCATGAAGTTCACCATTATTCTCTGGGTCTTCTGCTCTTCGGCAACATGTCCTTGCAAGACTCCTGTTCCGAGCATTGGAAGCTGCATGTTTTCAGTTTCAGAAAGGATGCTGAACTTCTCTGGGATCCGGGTCTTTCAGGAAATAAAGGTCATGGAATTGGAAGATTGCATCTCAGAACCATTCTTTTCCAGAGTGGTTTCGGTGTATTCAAGCCATCAAATCCAGGCCGGAATTCGTTTATAATCCTAGAAAACCCACACTAGAACGATTGAAAACCCCAGCTAGGCAAACCCTACCCCAAAGAGGTTTTTTTGGGATTGGGTGAAACGAGCACGTTGCGTCATAATCCTAACAGGCATGTTTAACGAGCCCGTTGACGTACAGGGTTAGGGTCCAGGACCCGAGTCGGATCCCGGAAGAGTGTCCAGCGGCCGTCAGCCAGATCCTGGGCAGCGACACTCGCCTGAGCATTCGAGTTTAGGATTGATGGCTTTACGGCTTGAGGATTTTAGGCTTTAGGGTGAAAGGTTTTAGGGCTTAGAGTTTAGGATTTAGGGCTTTAGGGCTTGAGGATTTTAGGCTTTAGGGTGACAGGTTTTCGGGCTTCAGTGTAGGATTAAGGGCTTTAATGAAGGTAGGTGGTTTTGGGTCTAGGGTTTAGGGGTTTAGGGTTTAGGGGTTTAGGGCCAGGGGTTTTGGGTTTAGGGCTTCAGGATTTTAGGCTTTGGGGTGAAAGGTTTTAGGGCTTAGAGTTTAGGATTTAGGGCTTTAGGGTTTCGGGATTTTAGTTTTTAGGGTGAAAGGTTTTAGGGCTTAGAGTTTAGAGTAGCATAGCACGCTTGGGGGCTCCCAGTCAAGGCTTTGACCCCAGAGTCTTGCTTGGAATCCTGCAACTCAGCTGCTTTGGATTTGGGATGGTGGTATCCGCAGTCAGAGGTACCCCAAACCCTGAACCCCAAACACCAACCCCCAAACCCTAAACCCTCAACCCCAAACCCTAAACCCTAAACCCTAACTAAACCCTCAACCCTCAAACCCCAAGGCCCGAAAGAGGTGCTTGGACCCTCAGGGTTTGGGACTGCCGGCTCTACCACTGGTACCACTTTTCCCGGTTTAGGGGTTTAGGGTTTAGTGTTTAGGGTTTAGGGTTCATACAAACTCGTGATCGAGAAGTAGTGCCACCAACACTAGCGATGTAGTAGTACAAGATGGGAAGAAGTGAGAACACAAGACCACAAGAACGTATGATTGAATCATTTTAGTACCGGAGGATAAGTGCAGTAACATGATATATCCGTAAAAGGGCTTTACTAGCAGACCATACCCTCAATGGACAGGTGCACAGAGAGACGGGTATCTGACAGAGTGTTACAGCTGATGCTACATTCTTTTGTATCATCGATGGATAGGTACACATATTGTATCAGTATAGTAAGGGATGCTACATGCTCGAAATTCATACGCCGTTACACTTAAGACCTCTCTTCAACCTCCTTGGCTTTCAACCTAAAAGGAAAGGGAGCAGCACATGGCCTCCGAAATCACCAAGCGCGTCGTCGATGGCGCAACGGTCTTCGTGATCTGTACTGAAAGCAGGCCATTTCGTGAGCTGCGAGCATAGCAGAGGAGATCGCCTATAACCGCAAAACCCGAGCTACCCTAATATCTGGTAGGCTGCAAATGGAGTCAAACTCATCAGGTTTCCAGCCGAAAGCCTGTCCAGCTGCTTTCAAGTCTCAAGGTATGAACTTAGCCGGCAAGACCTGCTTGCGATAAGGATGGACATCTCGGGGCATCGGCGAATGATTTAGAGTTACTATATGACTATATGAGCCTTAAGTACCGATACTATTTTGGGGGCTCCTTATGATAATGACAATATAATACACCCCAAAACCCTATTCTAAGTATGAAGGCCCCTGCATTCAAGGCTTACGGTCTAGCTTCGAAGGGACGGATGGTGTTCTCCGATACGCGAGTGTCCTTCCGCCACCAGTTTCGCGAGGCTTGCGGCCTTGAAAGAGCTGGTGGCTCAGGCCTCACCTTGCCTCCCAAGACTTGGTTTGGCATTTGGGGGGGGCTATTTTCGGGTTTAGGGTTTAGGGGTCTGGGAGCAGTTTTTCGCCAGCTGGAGGTTTCGACGCTGCCAAACGGCAAGGTAACTAAGTAGTAAGGATCTGTAGAGTAAGGATTACTATAATATAAGGGTACTACCAGTAGTGTGTCAGGTGCAAAAACCACTGTTGTGAAGGTTTCTTCCGGGCTGGGGAGTCTACAGCACACCCCGACAGCAACTCTTATGGCAGACCCTTATCGTAACCCTTATCGCAACCTCTACGGCAACTCTCACAGCAACCTCTTCTGTAAGCCCCTACCTTGTAACCCTCACACTTCCCTAGAGCCTATATTCGCCCTAATGGCCCCAATAATAGCACCCCCCATAGACGCCACTTGCCTAGACCCTTAGTAACAAAACGCTCACAGCGACGGGCGACGGTCTCCATAGTAACCCCTGTAGCACCCTTTTAGACCCTTTTTGCAAGCCTAGAGTAAACGTTACAGCTACTAATTACTGCTTCACTGTGCCAAGGGTTTAGGGTTTAAACACTACTCCGGGGGACGCATGGTTGTCTCCAAACCCGAAACCCCCATTTCGTGAGCACTCCCCCCACCCCGACTGCTCTCCCCCAGAGAAAATCCGACAAGAATGCTCTGGAAGTCCTGATCCTAGACCCTCAACAGCAGGGCGCGGCTCACGCCGACATGGCCGACGTGGCTGCCAGCAGGAGCCCGGTTTTTTTTCAGCAACCTTTGAGGGCTCCTTCAAGGATTGAGGGCTTCTTTTTAAGGGTCCCTGTAAGGCGCCTACCTATAGTATCCATCGTAGTTCCTTTTTTTGGTTTAACCAATTGTATATTAAGGATCCCAAAAGGTAACCCCAAAAAGGAACTACAATGGAGACTATAGGTAAACCGTAAACCCTAAACCGGGGTTGGGTGCTGTCACCAGGCGACACCTGGAATCTCCAAGTAGGGTTCCTAGGTCCTCAGCTTCAACAGCAGTTCTTCCAGAATCCCGAGTCTCTGCTTGGGTTTTAAAGGCTAAGCATTTAGGGTTTAGGTTCATAGGGTTTGTTGCTTGTGGAGTTCGGGGTTGGTGCCGGGGTTCAGGATCTGGCCCTTCCTGCTCATTCTGGTCTATGCCGCGCCTGCAGCAGCACTACTGGGATGTGATGACATACCACTAAGAAAAGTCAATCGGACCTTGATCGGGGGAGGATGAGAAATCCTGATTGAAATGCCCGCGAGCCCTGCTGAAGTCTCCCGCTGTGTGGCTCACTCACTCGCTCACTCACTCTCTTTCTATCTCTCGCACCCTCTCCCTCTCTCTCTCGTATAATTCTTGGTGTACATGGTGATAAAATTAGAAGCATGCATATTTTATCCTACGATAAATGACGGTACAGGTATGTTCAAGCGTATATCCTGTGGTTGCATCTGTATACATATATATATATACACATGTATGTGCAGGTGCCTTTGTATCTTTCGTTTGTACGCATGGTCTTATGCTAATTTCGAGCATGACCATGATACATGTGCATGTCCGGTCTTCCTACCTACCTATCTCTCGGTCCATCTATCGATTTTTTCTTTCGATGTACCTGTCGCATCAATCGATATATGAATCTAGCCATCTTGCGTTCTATCTATCTACGCATCTACCTGTAAATCTGACTAAGGAGCGGTCTAACTATCGAGCCATCTACCTATTCTGAATCTATGAATGTATCTGCCTATCTATCTGTCCATCCATCTATCTATCTATCTGTCTATCTATCTGCCTATCTATTTATCTACCTATCTACCTATTTGTCTATCTATCTATCTATCTATCTATCTATCTATCTACTTATCCACCTGTGTGTCTATCTATCTCTCTATCTATCTACTTATCTTTCTCTCTCTGTCTGTCTATCTACCTATCTATCTATCTA